AAAAGGGGTGGAGGTTTGAATAAAGTTTTTTTTCTTTTACTGTCTCACAAAACAATAAGCTTAGCCTAAAAAAAAGAATAAAATAATTTCACATCAGGAAGCAAACAAGTCTTCATGGTGTTGTAAAAAAATAAATGAGTGAAAAGAAGAGAAGAACCCAGTCCAGGAGACTCGAAACAAGCAGAATTCCTTTATTGAGACGTGCTGGTTAATCTGCAGTCATACAGCGTCTTTAAGATGTCCATGTGTCTACTAGAGGTCCGCAGTCTGCAAGTTCTTTCACAAGTCTGTCACAAGTCTGTTTTAAGACAAAGATTTCATGTCTATATTGTGTTCTTAGGAGGAGGGGATATGGTTAAAACAAAGCATGCAAATTAAGAGTTGTGGTCGGCAGGGTAAACTGCTTTTTCTGGCCTGGTGTTATCATGTTCTGGAGACAGAAACCGCCTGACCAGTTGATCGAAAAGAGAAAACAATAGACACAACCATGCTGTGAAACTGATAATTGCATGACTTTGGCTTAGCCTGTAGTCAGCAAGGCAAAGGTTAAATGACCCTCCTAGCTGGCATGTCAATGAAATTATATAATTAAAAACCAAAGAATATAACTTTTTAGTTATACGTAGATTATTGTTCATTTAAAATGAGATGATATAAATTTATATTTCCACAATAGGAGGTCAAGGCCAACTTAACAAACAACATCCTAACTCCAATATTTAAATCTAATTAAACTAATAAATAAAAGAAACACTTTACAGACTTTACAATAAGGTGTCATTAGTGAATGAGATCCTAGTTCAACATTTACTAATGAATTATTAAATCAGAATCCATGCTTTTTAACATTAGTTAATGCACCGTGAGTTAACATGAATTAACAATGAACAACTGTATTTTAACTAGCGTTAGCTAACATGAACAAATACTGTAATAAATGTAAGTTCATTGTTTGTTTATGTGAGTAGATGCATTAGCTAATGCAATATTATCGTAAAGTGTTTTTGTCTGATGTTTCTATATGTACAGTGTATAGGCCAATGTGGGATCAGCCACAAATAGGCATGACATCTGATAGTTTTATATCCTCATATCCTTTAATAAAATAATGACTTAATGCACAATGCACAATGCAATCACTATAGTCACATTAAGAATATTCGCTAACGATTCAGTCAGTCTTAGTAGATTATAAGCTCAAGAATGGCCATACTGGTGTTTCTGACTGTTTATATACAGTAAGTCTGTTCCAGGTAATTGTTTTGTCATGTTATATGTGCTTTCAAAGCTTCTATTTTAGACAGACACTAGGTTTGAGTGTCTGTCTGTCTTTTTTTCTTCAAGTCATTACCTCAAAAATGTTATCTTTCAGTATAGGCTATAATTGTGTTTTGTAATTTTAATTACATAAGATTGTTAAAAAGAATTACTGTATATGCATCACTTATCCCGGACGAGCACCCAATTTATTACAACCTACCCTGTCTAGGCTTGGGAAGGAGTAATAAAGGAAAAGGGGTGGAGGTTTGGATACAGATTTTTCCTTCTACTCACTCAGAAAACAATAAGCTTATCGTAAAAAAAGAATAAATTCATTTAACATCAGGAAGCAAACAAGTCTAACTCCATTTCTGTTCTTACACAGAAAACTTAGACAAAAGAAAATGGAAACCCTCTCCCTACAGCTTCCAGCAAATACCAATCAATTGAAAAACAAATTAATATATAAATATATATATATATATATATATATATATATATATATATATATATATATATATATATATATATATATATATATATATATATATATATATATATATATATATATATATATATATATATATATATATATATATATATATATATATATATATATATATATATATATATATATATATATATATATATATATATATATATATATATATATATATATATATATATATATATATATATATATATATATATATATATATATATATATATATATATATATATATATATATATATATATATATATATATATATATATATATATATATATATATATATATATATATATATATATATATATATATATATATATATATATATATATATATATATATATATATATATATATATATATATATATATATATATATATATATATATATATATATATATATATATATATATATATATATATATATATATATATATATATATATATATATATATATATATATATATATATATATATATATATATATATATATATATATATATATATATATATATATATATATATATATATATATATATATATATATATATATATATATATAAATATATATATATATATATATAT